ATATCATATTTATTTAATTATCACGTGTGCGCCAGCTGACTGTGATTCAGTGCTAAACTTGAATATCAAATATTTACGTTAAAAAATAAATATTCTACAGGTTAGGACTTGTACAAATACTTCATAAGCCCTGTAGAGAAATTTACTTGGCCTGTCTCTAATGCTAATACACTTACACTACAAACTATACTATTTTTCACTGGGGATTACCTGAGTTCTATTTATTCAGAAAATTACGCAATCAGCGGAAACTAGACTAGCCCAGCCGTGGCAATTTTATATAAAAACAAATCGTGGTCTGACGCGAAAGGTCTACAAATTCGTTCTAAATGGTTATCGTATAAAACAATAAAATTACCACGACTGCGCAAGTCTGAGTGAAAACCAGCGACGTACGATACATCGTTGCACCGATACAAGTTGCCCCTAGCGACGAAGCGCTTCTGTGATGTATAAAGAACGCCATTATTGACGTCGATATCGTTTTTATCCGATGTCCCACGACAATGAACAAAATATAGTCTTTTGGAAGTTAGCAAAAATGAGGTGTGTATTTCAACGACATTGGTTATAAAACAGTCGCGAGATTGTGCTTACACGATAGACTGGAAAGAAGACACTCTGACGTCACAGAAGCGCTTCAACGCCAGAAAAATTCGTAAATCAATATGTCATCTGTACAAACATTAATAATGCCCTTAATATCCGAAGAAGCTCTGCGCTAGAGCGCGATGCGCACCGTCGAATATTATTACTATTGCAACAACAACATCATCAATAACAGCAACAAATTAACAATAACAAGATTGAAAAAAAGTTGACTCATTGATCTCAGGCTGTCTCGTTCGCAATTTTTTTGAATTTCAACAACAGTTTCCATTGGGATGTTATAGTGTCGTTAATTTGGTATTTTACTTGAGAACACCAATAAACGATTTTTGACATAATTAAAAGGCGGTGGTCGATCGTCATGCGTGTTTCACGTTCGAATTTTACATGGGTTGTATATATATATATATTGTCTTAACATTATTCACATTTCTGGCACACACAAAAAACAAACAAAAAATGCAAAAAAAAACAAAAAAACTTTCTCGCCCCGCAAAATCTTGTGCCGCCGCCTAACCACATATGACTCGTTATTTGAAAGTCTGAATTTTTGAAATTTTATTTTTAATTACGTACCTCAGTTGTATGAATTTTGACCAATTTTCATTTCATTTCAGTGCCAAACTACGGTCAACTGACGTCATGGGGAAATAACCACAAGGTCATTGTTTCCATGGAAACAAAACACTAAGTAAATATTGTTCAGTAATTTTTGAGAAATACTGTGTAGTACTTTTTATTTGTAGTTAGGGGGCCCACTCATAAAAACATGAATGACGTAAGATAACTTCGAAATATAACAAATAAAATAGTTCGAAAACACCGATAGTCACGTGACACGTCTCTGATGAGCACGGTGTCAGGTAGAAGACCAAAGGTCATATTGACATTTTGGGTTGTACCCGATAACACACAATTATCAGACTTTTGGCCTCATCTCATAAATAAACAAAACATAGTCCCAGCAAAGTTATTTTGATCATATTTCAGCCAATATGCTTCGGTAGGGTCAGGGTATACATCCATAGATTGAAAACAGTGACGTCACTCGAGTTGGTTGTGATACTCTAGTATAATGTAAGCGAGAATTACAATAACCTGTGACGTCACGAGTATTATTTAAATATACATAGATTCTACTGCGATGTCTGGTCTTTAGTGTGCGTTTATTTCTATAGAAAAATAATAGTAATTAAGCAGTTATTCATTAACCCAACAAAATTACCATCACGACAGGATCGTCAAAAATGGCTTCTAATAACTGAATGGTGAATTTAAAGTCTATTCGAGCTTTATAGAGAATTTCGAAATGTTTTATTATGAAAAATCAAAATATTTTGATTCTACTTTAAATTACCCATCTGTCTTCACAATTTACACTGGTAATACAAAAGCAATTTCAATGTTTATTTTAGAAACTGAATGCTAGTAGTTTTTTTTACATAGTATATGTATATACTAGTATTATCATGACTGTCGTTGGTGAATTGTTTCTTCATCTGAAAACAATTCCAGGAGACAAATCAGAAGTCTAGACAAACGGTTCTTTTTCAATACCGCTGTTATTCTAAAATGGCGAAGCCAGGGAAACATTTCAAAACTGTTTTTCGATTTCTCAAACACTACGATTTAAACCAATTTGATGAGACATTTAATGGGAAATACACGACAATTTGTTACAAATGAGCAAAATTAGCTGCGTTGTTTAAAAGACAAGTGTTGATTAAAGAATACTCACTTGTTTGTTGACCGTTAGACAGAAGTGGAATTATCTGAGTGACAGTGTGTAACAGGAACATGTACATCCCATGCATGGACTTTGACACGAAGTATCCACGACGTCATGTGACGACATCACGGGCCCGATCAGACGTTAAAATGTAACACTGGACGTTAATAATTATTCGCGTAGCTTGATATGGGAGTGGAGTGCTGGGGTGCAGGATGTCCCAACAGTTCATCATGCCGTAAAACGTGTTCATTATGGAGTTTTCTTGAAAACTTTGTAATTTTAGTTGTTTGCGAAAAATAAACAAATAAATAAAAAGCTATATAAGTTATGAATGGCTTTGTTTGCGCTGTAAAAGTTAAACGTACCCACAATGCATTTCCGTTTGAAAACTTACTTTCAAAATGGCCGCGACGGAAAGAAAGTCTTGGTGAAAGTGTGTGTGTGCTTCAGGTCAAATGCGTGAGTTTTGATAGTTTTTATAATTTATTCTATCTGATATTGCAGTTGAAATAATCACATTTACGCTAAATGACATGTAAATGCTACAGTGTTGTTTCAATCATACTTTCGGTAGTTAATGCCTTCAATGATTCTTGTCAGCGGCCTTGGCCTTGGGCCGAGATGAGGGGAGGTAGCCGTGGCTATGTGACTCCATGGTCTGTTTTTATTATTGAGGCATTAACAAGGTTTATTAACGTTCTAGTGTATTTCCTCGATCGCCGAAATAGAACTCTGGAGTTGCCAAACCATGGCTATGGCGTGATAACATGGTAACCATTCATAGAGAGTCGATTCACTGCTTCTCGTTGTCAAATCAGTTACAAACATGATGGGTCTCTGTATTTTTATGAGTGTCAGTCACCGTGAAACAAAAACAAGATATGACAAACATTTCTCATGTACATCATAATGTAATTTTTACTAATTCATCTTAAATATTTAGTACATTTTGAAAAAAAAATATCTCAATGTATTAAATTTAAAGGGCAGTGTTTGATATGGGACTCATAGAGACATACACAACACATGTAAAATACATTGTACATTTATGTGAAATGCTGACATGCACTGTGTGACAACCACCAGCCTTTAAGAATGACAGAGAGAGCATAGCAAGTGCACCAATATAATCCACTAGTTTTGACCTAACCAGGTTAAACTTTTAACCAGGATCACTTCTTTTTGTATCTGTTTTGTCGTTGTAACTGACGTTATCAAGCTTTAATTAGGTATTTTGTTAAGGGATTGGAAGGTATTGAAGGAGTCATTGGTGAAAATTAGTGCAAACCTCATACTTGTGATTCCCATTAGAAGAGTGCATTGGATTGTGGGAAAATCAATGTTTATCAACACAAATGTTGCACATGCGCAGCGCGACGACGACCATCCTTTAAGTATATGTATATGTGTCCCTGTAAATAAAACAATTAAAACAGGATCACATTGCCATGACAGATCACAAGCTAGTGCTGAATAATAAGATAACATTTATTACCAATTTCTCAGCAATTTCCTGACCATACTGTAGAATCTGGTGAGTTTAAAAGCACGAAATTAAAACCATACGAAAATGTTCTTTTCCATGTTGGAATGTAAAACAATACCCCAGTCGAAACAACACTCACTCCTGACCCACGATCATACAATTTTTACCGTAGTCTTTGCCTATTCAAGAGTATGATGTCTATTGTGGTTAGCGTGAGTGCGTAAACTTCGTTTC